TTGATGGAATTATCGATTTTGTGTAGTGCGCATGCGCATTGTCAACTTTCTTATTTATTATCCGATTTTCATCAAACTTGGTATGTTTGTGTATAATCTAATTCTAAATTTGATGGAATTATCGAATTTGTGTAGTGTGCATGTGCATAACCAACTTTCTTATTTACTATCCGATTTTCATCAAACTTGGTATATTTGTGTATAATCTAATTCTAAATTTGATGGAATTATCGAATTTGTGTAGTGCGCATGCGCATTGTCAACTTTCTTATTTATTATCCGATTTTCATCAAACTTGGTATGTTTGTGTATAATCTAATTCTAAATTTGATGGAATTATCGAATTTGTGTAGTGCGCATGCGCATAACCAACTTTCTTATTTATTATCCGATTTTCATCAAACTTGGTATGTATGTGTATAATCCAATTCTAAATTTGATGGAAATATGGAATTTTTGTTGTGCGCCTGCGCATTACCAACTTTCTTATTTTTTATCCGAATTTCACCTAACTTGGTATGTATGTGAATAATCCAATTCTAAATCTGATGGAAATGTTGAATTTTTGTTGTGCGCATGCGCATTACCAACTTTCTCATTTATTATCCGAATTTCACCAAACTTGGTATGTATGTGTATAATCTAATTCTAAATTTGATGGAATTATCGAATTTGTGTAGTGCGCATGCGCATAACCAACTTTCTTATTTATTATCCGATTTTCATCAAACTTGGTATGTATGTGTATAATCCAATTCTAAATTTGATGGAAATATGGAATTTTTGTTGTGCGCCTGCGCATTACCAACTTTCTTATTTTTTATCCGAATTTCACCTAACTTGGTATGTATGTGAATAATCCAATTCTAAATCTGATGGAAATGTTGAATTTTTGTTGTGCGCATGCTCATTACCAACTTTCTCATTTATTATCCGAATTTCACTAAACTTGGTATGTATGTGTATAATCCAATTCTAAATTTGATGGAAATATTGAATTTTTGTTGTGCGCATGCGCATTACCAACTTTCTTATTTATTATCCAAATTTCACCAAACTTGGTATGTATGTGTATAATTCAATTCTAAATTTGATAGAAATATTGAATGGTTGTTGTGCGCATGCGCATTACCAACTTTCTTATTTCTTATCTGGATTTCATCAAACTTAATCTTTATTAATTAACAAATATTCTTTTATTCCTAGTAAATATACTTTAAACTCCAGGCACTTTAGGATATTTGCATTTAGAGATGCAGAAAGGTATTTACATAAAGTAATTGCAATAGACCATCTTCGTATGTACCTGAATGTCGTAACCCCCCCTGCATCAGTACTGTTATTAGAACAGTTCTAGTTTGTTTTTCTTTTTTGATTTTTCCACACCTTTTCAAGCAAAGGCTGTAACAGCTGCATCAACATTACTACATGTGTAGACCTTCTGTAGTGGCAACGTCGTAAATGAGTGTATTTTGGAACATTTTTGCAAAACCAGAAGTGCCACAGGTCAACATGTGCAAAAAGTTGAAAATCGGCTCTAGAAGGCGCATTTTTGCATCGATTTTCTTCGGGTTTTTATTTTTACAATATACCTGTTATTTCTGACCTGATAGCACTTGAAAAATTGCGAAATTCGAAAATTCGTAGCTCACTTTTTTCGATCAAATTTTTCAATTTTGTTGCAACTTTTTTGTTTTTGCATCGATTGATCTGAAATTTAATATGCAAAGGGGCATCACTAAAGTAAATAATATGTAGTTGTCAAATATTTAACTTTACTTCCGGTTTTAAACGGTTTTAAACGGGAAATCAATCGAAAGTACAATCCACTTCCGGTCGAATAACTTCCAGTGTAATTGAAATAGGTCAACGAAATTTATGCTGATCGTAAGTAAATGCTATTACAAAAAAACGAAGAAAAAAAAATCCAGACCGGAAGTGATACTTTGGCCGCCATATTGAAAAAACACACTTTTGTAAAACTCAAAATGGGGCCTCAGGGTAAATGTTGATATGCTCAAATTTGATGTGAATGTATTCCGCAATCGATTACGCAAAAAACATTGGGAGCCGAATTTTGAATTTCGCTTTTGCTTTTTTGCAACTTCCGGTTGAATTTTGTTCATGCTTTAAACGATCACACCATGTGACCTTGACCTTTGATGACCTTGACCTGCATAGGGTCAAAGGTCATTGACCTTGGCTATCATTTGATACTTTGACCTTTGACCTCCGACATGTACTTCCGGTTTTATAGCTATCCGTAAAAAGCCAAATTCGCAACTTTGGACTGCTCTAGCACGTGACCTAATTAACCTAGAGGGTTAATTTTTTCGGTTTCCTAATGTGCTTCTCATGCACTTTACATAGATATAGAACAATTGCTTTTTTAAAGCAAAATTGAAATTCGTGATTTTTTCAAATTTGGCTTTTGTTTTACCATATTTGTGTCTTTTTGATCTTGGTGTATGTATATCTTATGACCTATTTTATGTAGAACCTTGATATTTGGAATACAACTAGACACTTTGTCACCCATGACAAAAAAATTGGGGTGGGCGTGGCACATCCTGGTTGAATTACTAATTGTTTACATTTTGCGGCTGGGGCATAACTCGCATAGGATACGTTTGTTAAAAAAGGGACTTTGCACACAATTACCTCATCCTTTTGGCCAGTTTGTGTTAACAGCTCAGTTGTTTCAGATTTATAGTTCCAAAAAAGGAACGGGTTTTAACATTTGGATATTTTCATTTTTCGATTTTGACCTTTGTTGACATTTGTTGACCTATATCTTTTGACCTGAATAATGTAGAAGCTTGAAATTTAAAACACAACATAACATTTGGAATATCAATTACCCTATGCAAAAAAAATTAAGGTGGGCGTGGCACATCTGGGTTATATTACTCATTATTGACATTTTTGGCCAGGAGCATAACTCGCAAAGTATACGTTTGTTCAAAATAGAACTTTGCATACAATTATCTCATGTTTTGAGCCACTTTGTCTTAGAAGTTCGGTTGTTTCCGCTTCATAGTTCAAAAAAAGGAACAGGTTTTGGAAATTCAAAATTTTCAATTTTTGACCTTGACCTTTATTGACCTTGACCTTTGTAGGATCAAACGTCATTGGCTATCTATTTATACTTTTATATTTGCTGTCCTATGTCATTTTCCGGTTTTATAGTCGTGTGCAATTAGAAATTTTGATGACGTATAACTCTTGATCTTGACCTTTTTAGACCTCCTCCTTTACAAGATCAAAGGTCATTGACCTTGGCTCTCTGCTGATACTTTCATTTGTGAGGCCTGACGTCTACTTCCTGTATTAGAATCTTATAAAAAATGAAAATTTCTCAACTTTAGACTGTTCTTGCACATGATCTAATCATCGTGGAAGGTTGATTTTTTCAGGGTCTTTTGCAATTTGCTACATTTGCAAAGTCCCACTCTGTGCCACGTGTGGCTCTAGTTTATGTTTGTTATTTTTTTTTTTGTCATTTAAGATCTAATCAAAAACTCAGATATGATGTGGAAACAGAGTGTTTGGACATCCACTATTGCTGCAAGTTTAGCTGCTAAATATTTAAAAGAGGGTGGAATTTTAACATTACCAGGAGCTCAACCGTCTCTACATGGCACCCCTGGTAGGTTGCTTGTTATTTTATGTTTTTATACGTCCACATGGAAATGTAGACGTATTTGCTGTCGCCCCTGTCCGTCGGTCCGTCCACAATTGCTCGTAAACACTCTACAGGACACAATTCTTCACGGATTTTGACAAAACTTGAAAATCATTTCTAGGCACGATAGAGACTACAGTTTTTTTTCCAATCTTGATGAAACTAAATATGCATGATGTGATCTGCCTTGACTTATAGATGATTTTAAGATTATTTGAAAATTTATTATTAAGCAACTAAAGATTTTATCATGTCTGACAGCTGGTAGTGGGCGTATGTTACCTTGCTTAGCAAGCTATCTTTTAATGAAACAGATTTACGTCTTACTTTCCTATACCTGACTGGGCTAATGATGACAAGACAGGTAATGAAATTTTAGCCTAGTCTTTTTATACGCCCACATGGAAATGTGGACGTATATTGCCGTAGCCCCTGACCGTCAGTTCTTCCGTCCGTCCTTTTACATTTCTTGTAGGCGCAATTTTTATCCGATTTTGATGAAACTTGGTATGCATGTATATATTTATGAGATCTCGGACAAGTTCGTAATTGGTATTAATTGGATGATCAGTTTCAGAGTTATTGCCCTTGGCTTAGTAAAAATGCATCAAATTTGACTTGTAGACGCGATAGAAACTACAGTTTTTATCCGATCTTCATAAAACTTGGTATGTATGAATGTATTAATGAGATCTCGGTCAAGTTCGAAATTAGTAATAATCAGATGAACAGTTTCAGAGTTATTGCCCTTGACTTAGAAAAAACATGTCAAATTTGGCTTGTAGGCACAAAAGAGACTAAGAGAGATTTTTGCCTTGATTTATAGATGATTTTAAGATGATTTGAAAATTCATTATTAAGCAACTAAAGATTTTGTTATCATTTCTGACAACTGGTAGTGGGCCTATGTTACATTGCCTGGCAAGCTATCTTTTTTTAGGTATGATTGGTTATGGTATGGCTAAGGCTGCCATTCACCAATTAGTTAAAAGTTTAGCTTGTGAAAACAGTGGTTTGCCATCTAATAGTCTAGCTACAGCAATATTACCGTAAGTCAACATAAATTCAGTAAAGACATTTTTATACGCCCCCATGTGGATGTATAGTGCCGTAGCCCCCGTCCGTCTGTCCGTCCACATTTCTTGTCTGCACGATAGAGGCTACAGCTTCTATCTGATTTTGATGAAACTTGGTAAGCATGAATATATTAATAAGATCTAGGTCAAGTTTTGAAAATGGTGATGATCGGTTTCGCAGTTATTGTCCTTGGCTTTTTAAGGAACACGTCAAATTTGACTTGTAGGCACAATAGAGACTACAGTTTTTTCCGATCTTGATGAAACATGTATATATTGATGAGATCTCAGTCAAATTCGAAATTAGTTATAATCGGATGAACGTTTTTAGAGTTATTGCCCTTGACTTAGAAGTCAAATTTGACTTGTAGGCATGATAGAGACTACAGTTTTTATCCGATCTTCCTGAAACTTGGTATGCATGTATGTATTGATGAGATCTCAGTCAAGTTTAAAATCGGTAATAATCGGATGAACTGTTTTAGAGTTATTGCCCTTGACTTAGTAAAAACTCGTCAAATTTGACTTGTAGGCACGATAGAGACTACAATCTTTATCCGATCTTCATGAAACTTGGTATGTATGTATGTATTGATGAGATCTGAATCAAGTTTGAAATTGGTAATAATCGGATGAACTGTTTTAGAGTTATTGCCCTTGACTTACTAAAAACGTGTCAAATTTGGCTAGTATGCACAATATAGACTACAGTTTTTATCTGATCTTGATGAAACTTGGTATGCATGTATATATTGAAAAGATCTCAGTCAAGTTCGTAATTGGTAACAATCGGTTGATTGGTTTCAGAGTTATTGCCCTTGACTTAGTAAAAACGAATCAAATTTCGATTGTAGGTACAATAGAGACTTCAGTTTTTATCCAATCTTGATGAAACTAGATATGCATGATGAGATCTCGGTCAAGTTAGAAATTGGTAATAATCAGATAAACAGTTTCCGAGTTATTGCCCTTGTGTGTACAGCGATGAGACATTGTTCATGTTTGAATTTCAAGATAACGTGATCAATTGTTTCAGGTTTTTGCCTTGACTTATGGATGATTTTAAGATTATTTGAAAATTCATTATTAAGCCACTAAAGATTTTGTTATCATTTCTGACAGCTGGTAGTGTGCGTATGTTACCTTTCCTGGCAAGCTATCTTTATCTGATCTTGATGAAACTTGGTATGCATGTATGTATTGATGAGATCTCGGTCAAGTTCAAAATTGGTAATAATTGGATTACGGGTTTCAGAGTTATTGCCCTTGCCTTAGTAAAAACGCATCAAATTTTACTTACAGGCACTACAGTTTTTATCTGATCTTGATGAAACAGGGTATGCATGTATATTGATGAGGTCACAGTCAAGTTTGGAATTTGTAATAATCGGATGAACAGTTTCAGAGTTATTGCCCTTGACTTAGTAAAACCCTGTCAAATTTCGATTAAATTAGGTATGATCTCAGTCGATTTCGGAATGAATCGGATGAATGGTTTTGGAGTTGTAGCCCTTGATTTGACTTTGAAAAAATGCATCAAATTTGCTTTGTAGGCATGATCGAGGCTATTAATTAAAAAAATTTGGAATAAATATTATAAATTACTACACACTAAAGAATACATTTTACAAGTTTACGAAGAATACATTGCTCGTAGACATTCTATAAGGCACAATTCTTGATGGATTTTGATGAAACTTCGTGTGAGTGTTTGTAAGCACCCAAGAATGAACCCTAATGAAAATGAGAAAATTCGAAAAACAGTAAGCATGAGTTATTGCCCTAGTTCTTAAAAAAGTTTAACCTAAAAACATTCTAGAAGGTTAAATTCTTGACAGATTTTGATGGAACTTGGTAATATTATTCAGTATCACTTCAAAAAGTTCAAAAGAAGTGTATGACTGAAGGTTAAATATTTTATACTGGTAATTGTTACTGTACTGCCAAATATTTTTATTTAAAATCAAAGCTGCCAGTTGGCATATATTACCTTGCCTGGCAAGTTATCTTTATTTTTATACAGCCACATGAAATGGGGGGCGTATATTTCCGTCACCCCCGTCCGTAGCTTGAGTGTTTGTAATCACCCAAGGATGAATCCTATTTAAAATCAGAAAGATTAGTATGAGTTATTGCCCTTGTTCTTGAAATTTTAGCTGGTAAACACTCTAGAAGGAACAATTCTTGATGGATTTTGACAAAACATGGTTTGAGTGTTTTTAATCACCCAAGAATAAGCCCTATTGAAGATCAGAAAAATCGTAAAATATTTAGTACGAGTTATTTCCCTTGTTCTTGAAAACGCGTGCAAATTTTAGCTTGTAAACACTCTAGAAGGGGTGATTCTTGACAGATTTTAAATATTTCATACTGGTGATTGTTACTGTACTGCTCAATATCTTTATTCAAAATCAAAGCTGCTAGTGTAAAGCTTGTAAAAGCGCGGATCTTATGATCAAAACCTCATATTCTGAGCTTGATTGTAAATAACTCAAAAACAATTAAATGAATAACACAGTCAGTTTAAAACCCCGTAAAATATTGTGTATTATACGAGTGTTTTGTTGGGGTTTCCATCCTAGATGGATTTGGATTGTTCTTATAATCAAAACTAGAATCTAAGTTTCAGCCATGCTTTATTCAATCTCTAAGCTCTTACATCATGCCTTCAACTCACAAAAGTACATATCCTGTCACATGACAAACAAACTACCTTAAGAGCAGACAACTCTGTTTTACTGAGAAGGAGAATATGGGAGATAACTCTTACTTAACAATGAGTTTTAAGACCACAATATGAACTAATGATATCAATCAGAGCCGTATATAGAGAGGGTCTGGCCAACTACGTCACAAGGCGCCATCTTGTTACCCTCTCTTAGCTACAAGACGGCCGACGTTATCCATCGTAAACGCTCGAGAATTTACAGTTTTTAACCGATTTTGATAAAATTTGGTATGTCTATACAAAAACACAAAAAGAAGATAAATTTTGAATTTTAGCACTTTCCAAATATTAACCACCGAAATATTAAACCTGTAATCTTCCATATTAAAATAGGGCCTAGCTGTATATTCTACAGCTATATGGAACAATAGGCTAATCACTAGTTATAGTTTATGCAACATATTGATAAGTAATAATGTATAATATAATTCATATTGTTTTTGATCAATAGGCCCGTGTGCCTGACGACTGTCAAAACGGTGCATAAACTATAACAAATGATTTTTGTTACATAAAGCCTTAGAATATAGTGAAGTTAGTATAAAGGACTGAACTCCATCTTTGCCGAAGAAATTTAGTCATCATGAAAATTGCTCAAAGCAAGATTTGCACTATGAATCGTTATCAACAGAAACAGGCCCGTAACCAGACCAGCAGGTGAAAATTAGGACCAGCACAAATATTAGGAGCCATGGCCCCTTGCCTCACCGTACAAGCACCAATATGGCTCACACCTTTAAATTATACTGTTTGTTTTGGTGCTTGGAAGTAAATAATACTTAATACTAAATAAGTAAATAGTCTTAGAATTTCACATTTATAGAAAAACATAAATTGATCGATTAAGTGTAGGCCTATCAGAAATGTTGTTGACAGTGTCTCAGAAGCCATAGTGCATGCTCCTCGTCTAGGCTTAGATAGCCAGTGCTTGGAAAGAAACCCTCTCACAGAGTTTCCATATCTATTATATCCAGTTTTTAGACATGAACATAACACGATTTGCAAAACCCCTGAAATCATCGAGTGTACTTACATCTCATAGAAAAGAGTTGTCGTGGGGAGTCCAGTCGGATCGATTGACCTTTACTTCCCATTCTCTGCGTCTCCTTTTATCCTTAGGGAACCTGTGCATCACTATACCTTCTACAGATTTGACAGAGCATTTCCATGCCACACATCGAGGCATTCTGTTGCCAGACAAGACCAGGAATTAGGCTTAAACAACGTAAAGAATACCCAGGCTCCTACGCCTAAACCTCGCGGGAAGGGTAGCAATATGGCAGCCTTCAATCACGTGACCGCTCTGCGCCAATCATGGTTCAGCGCGGCGAGATCACAAGTTGGCCAAACTCTCTCTATATACGGCTCTGATATCAATATGACACGAAGTTCAATGTTCCTCCTTTTTCTGCAGATGAAAACAAAAAACCTTGTATACTGTACTATTATACGAGTTATTGGTTCAAAAGGCTGGAGTATTCAAATTGTTATACGAGGTTTATATTTTCAAAGAATGAAAACCACGTATAACGGTACAAAAAAAAAAAAAAAAAAGAAGATTTTAACAAAATACATGTACAAATAGTTTTTTGCGTTTTTCTCGAAAAGTAATTTCGTGTCATATATCGTTATATGAGGTTTCAAGCGGTCACCAACGTTATCATCGGAGATCACTAAGGAAATTTGTAGTTCATCGGTAAATGAATGCAAATTTTTAACATGGGTTCACTGTAGCATGTGATAATGAAATGTAAATCTATACATTTATACTTTAAGAAAACACAAGATGAAAATCATTTATTAGTACATTACATTATTTTTGTACAATAAGAGGTACATAACTCTTAAAATAGCATACACGCTGACTAAATAAAATAATTGAAAAAAGTAATGAAATGAAAAGGGATTAGTTGAAGATGAAATAAACAACTATTGCTAGTATTGGAGTCTTTTATTAATAGAAAATTACTTTGTTTTAAAATAACTATCTATGGTTTAGTTGAAATATCTTATTGAATACATATGAATATGAATAATTACAGGTTGATAATTTAATCATATGCATGGGATAATTGAACACCTTCATCTTTGTCTAGGTGTTATTGCCTTTGTGTGGATGTGATGAGACCATGTTGATGTTTGAATTTGATGATAATTTGATGAACTTTTTTTGAGGTTTTGCCTTTTAAATTCGTAATGAACCCACTACATTTCTTGTATTAAAAGGATATCTTGTATTATTTTAGGGTCACATTAGATACACCTATGAATAGAAAATGGATGGCTAATGCTGATTTTTCATCATGGACAACTTTAGAATTTGTGGCAGAGTAAGTTAATATTCATTTATTCATATGAATTGAACCTATACTGAGGTTTATATATGAAATATGTAGGTCCTGATGTGCTTTGGTTTAAGAAATCAAGATAACTCAACCATGTTGGGTAATAGCCTCTATCATCCATTCCCTCTTTGCTTAAAATCTTCGTTGAATCTACAGTGGCTAGTGAATCTGTTTGGTTGTAAATCCACATGCATTTGGTCCAGGCCAACATCAATTGAAAGTATAGGTTCCTTATCTATTAACGATTCAGTAATTAAGACAGAGGCTTTGGATATCAATTCTAATTTGAGGAAACAGTAAATTAACATCAGCAGAGACTAGTTGTGTAATATATACAGCAGGGCAATGTTCTAAATTTGCTAAGGAATAGGTCTAAATAACATTTTTCCCCAGGTTTCACAGTCAAAATGAATTCTGATCTGATTAATCTCCTCATGCTTAATTTTTTTCTAAATATTGATGGTAAATTTTCATTTTTAGATTGTTCTATAAATGGACCAACGGAGAAAATAGACCTGCCAATGGTAGTTTAGTCCAGTTATTAACTAAAGATGGTGAAACAAGCCTAGTTATAGCTTAAAATTAGACCTGAAAGTGTACCAAATTAGCGTGAATTATATATACTGGTGAAGGTGTTGGGTATTGGGATTTAGATTATTTACAGTAGTGTATTTGTAGAAAATGTCAGAATAAAAGATAATTATTGATAGTACATGTCAGTGTAGAAAATAGTTGACGTTAGAATAGTGTTAGTGGAGTAAACCTGTTGAACTTACTTTAAAACAAAACCAAATCTAATCAAAACCGAACAATTCTACACAAAAAGATTTTTTACCTGTAAAAGTATTGGTATTTAGTTATTGTTTGCTATATAAAAGTGCTATTTTCTGATTTGCTACAATAATGCAAACTTGGAATAAAATAGAATATATTTTTATTTGTGAATGAAGATCCTGGTGACATTATTTAATAAATTTAATGATTAATATACTGAAAAGTCAATGAATATATTTAGTCTATTTTTCGTTGAAGAAAATGAACTTTATTATTATTAGTTGTTAGATATATTTCTGATTTCATGATTATTTTAAATATATTTTTAAGTATTATCACTGCTGTCTTGATACTGAATTCTACTTTTCTAGTCACAAAGTCATATTTTTTTTTTTATCATATATGCAGTATTTAAAACATTCCAAATATAATGCAATCTGTGTTAAGCTTAGTTTAAACAATCAAAGGCATAGCCTATTTTTTCTGTTTAATTCAATTGTTTGTGCTCACATTGTAATGTGGATGTATATTGTTGTCAACCCTGTCCAGACGTCCATCTTCAATTGCCTTGTGAAGCGATAAAGGCTACACTTTCGATGAAACTTGAAATGCATATGTGCATCACCCAGATTTGGTTTAATATAGACAAAGTTTCAATGAATTTTTATTTAGTCACTGTCCAATATACATCTACATTGGCATGTGAATGTGATACTTATGTTATGCTTATGATCAGATTTTCACAAAACTTGCAAGATTTTAACTTCAAGTTTTGACAAATGGTATGGTATGTGTCATAGGACCATATCCTTTTTAGCCAAAAATGCAACAAAATTGTATACCAGTAGTTTTTCTGATTGCACAGTGTTATCTTTTGCTCACACTACATGCTTCATTGTTTGATCCCTATCAATTGAGGTGATGATCAATTTATTATCCTTCTTGTTGATGTTGCATTTCATGCTCACCCTGCATTTCTTGACAGATGACGCAGAAATGATGCTCATCATTGATTGGAAAAGTTTAAGCCTATTTTGCATACATTAGCATAGATTAATTCATCCTCACTTGATGAGCTATTATTTGGAGTAAGGTGTTCATGTAGTTTTTACATGACCACTAATGTTTAAAGTATGGTGATATTGCCTACTTCTATTGTGTTTTATATTCAGTGTTTGTTGTATTTTTTTTGGTATATTGTACAATATAGCATGTTGTGATAAAGTTGTAATATGATTTCAGAATAAATTGATTCTACAATATATCATATTTTTTACAAGTTAATCCCAGTTAATAGATTTACTCAAAAAGAGCACATTATTTATGCTATATCTCATAATATGATAATTTAAAGTGATCCACTTTAATTCCTATTTAAAAGCATTGTAAAGAGGTTTTCTAAATTTTCATACACCCACATTATAATGTGTTCAATAAAATAGAAGACACACAAACCATTTCACAAAGGTTTTTACTGGTCCATTTTCAATTGATCTAAATAATGTGGATACTCTATAGCACAACACATGGGTAAACATTCCAAAACATAATCTACAATAGAAAAAACTAAGTAGTCCTAAAGTCTAACATGTTTCAAGTATCCCTGTCTGTCCGTCAATCTAACCGTCCAGAATTGGCTTGTGAACACTACAGTGACTGATTTTTATCTAATATTAATGAAATTTGATATCATTATTTATATTGATATGATCTATGGTCAAGTTTTCAAGTTATTGACCTTGACTAAGTAAAAACATGTCAAAATTTGTTTGTGAACACAATACACTCTTCATCTGATTTTAATGAAATTTGGTGTGATCATTCATATTGATAGGATCGTGGTCAAGTTTCAATTTGAAGAATTTTCCATGAATGATTTTTGAGTTATTACCCTTGACTTACGAAATACGTGCCAAAATTTGCAAATTGATGCTATCAGTGTTCCTGATACAAATATCTGATGGTGCAACTTAGAAGGCAATATTTGTGTTGTATATGATTACCTTCTGTTTGAATGGATTCTGCAAAATAGTCATATATGAATATGCAATAATGCAAATTACAACATGATATTGATATCTTTACTTGTATAATTGATCCCTGTAGGATGAGCCTACCATTGATACAACAAGGTTTAATTCTAAGTTATAGCATGATTTTCTCTGTAAATGTAGAAAGGGGAGTTCTGGCTCGGTGTTTAAATCTGAATGAAAACTGTTTATAAATTCTCAATATCTTGTTATAATTTGCATTATTGCATATTCATATATGAATATTCTGAAAATTTTGGAGCAGAATTCTTTTAAACAAGTTATTCGTAAATAACATAAATATTGCCTTCTAAGTTGCACCATCAATATAATTTACAGGAAAACAAACTGTGCTTTCAATAGGAAATAAAATAGTCATATTATATGAATATGCAATAATGCAAACTATAACATATGATTTTGAGAATTTTCTTGATATTTTCATTGTATAAACAAGTGTGAGGAGACTACAATTGCTATAACAAGGTTTAATTCTAAGTTTTGGCATTCGGTCTCTAAGTTTAAATCTTTTATGCTTTCATCTGAATGAAAACTGTGCTATAAATATAACTTATTCATGATATCTGAAACAAAAAACAGCTTAGACCTCAATGAAAATAAAAATAAGCTTGGATTTCAAGTAAAAGGTAAAATCTTGGTGGGCATATCACAAAATTTATGAAAGAAATGAGAATACATATTTGTCGCAAACAATAACGGATAATAGTTCTGTAAATGGGATTAACTGTTCAGTGAGTCTGCTTCTATTGCCCTGAATTTAAAAGTTGACCACTATTCCAAAATAATCTGTCCTGATGAGGATTTTATATCCAAGATCAGTGTCATCAGCCCACAGTTTAATAACTGAAATAATTATAATATCACAGATAAATAAGGTGCCAACTCTTAGATTTTGCTGATAAATGCTATTAAGGAGCACTCAGATACTGAGAGCTCTGATTTTGTTTACCACTCTGATTTGTCCAGACTGCTCAATGTTTCTTTTCTTTCATGTGAATATCTACAATATCGTGTTTTTTAAACATTATTCAGAAATATTTGCTTTTATAACCGTAAATGTACAAATTATTAACATCAAATCTATTATCGTAGAGCTACTCTTCATTCACCACAGAAACACAAAGATAAAATGGTTGTATAACAATATAACTGAAACCTGATTATACATTTAAGGCATTTAGTCCAGTCTCACTCCAAAATGTAACACTTAATATTATTTCAATAATGTCTTTTAAAATTTTTAAATCTTTAATTTAAGGAAGGCACTATTAGACTGATATCTGAACACATTTATAGATTGAACCCGTTAATAAATTTACAGTGATAATACTTGGTAGAATACACAAGATGGTTCAACTCTAAGACCATAATGTCCAAGGTGTTCTATGAGCTTGATGAGGTAAAATTCCTGTAATATTTATTGGAATTGTAATTATTGCCTTCTGCAAACCAAGATTTTCTAATTCATTCTTTATCATAGCACTGAAATATACAAAATATCATAACATTTTACTTATGTATTTTATCTCTTTGCTGATGTTTTAATAAAAAAGCTTGCCAGGTAATCTACACACAGCTATCTGAAATGATGACAATGTTTTTATTTACTAAAATACAAAGTGATAATTTATGAATAATATTAATTATATATGTTACATATAATACAAGCACTATTTCATGGGTGGTTACTTAATAGCAGGTAAAACAATAACTTCTGTTATAGTGCAGTAGGGTGTCTCAGCATTTTCTTGTGCAGTATTAAAAATTTCCACCCCCTCCCTCACCATAGTATTACTAGCTTCACATCATTCTCTTAAGGAATTATATGATTTCATTATGTGTTTAATGTGATTAAAATATATGCACCAACTTATCACTGTCTGATTACTTAAACGTAAAGTATGAGTTTACTCATATTACATAATCTATTAAGCATGAAGCACATTGAATGCATTAATATCTCATCAATTTACAAATTATATTTACTTCAAATCTTTTTAACTGAACCCCTAAATACTATCCCATGTTATATATGTATATAATAATCAGTTGTAAACTGTAGATTCTATAGTATATTCAAATTGTGAGATAGGAAATGCACATTCAATCTTGATCTTTTCAACAATGTCAATTACTCACCCATCTTTTCCGAGTAAAAATGAGGAGGGAATAGATATTTCACGCTTCGTTTCATCATGAACCATATCAATCAAAGCTTCATTATTTTCATGATCATTATCAGCTATAATAACTGCAACAGCACCAGCTTTTTCTGCATAGTATGATTTTGTTAAAAAAGAACATGCCCTGAAATTGATGGTAACCACGACTGAATTTATGTAATCACTATTTATAATGGAGAACAAATGAAAATGTTGTAATTGAGTTATTCTCTTGTATTTCAGCTTAGAAAAGGCTGTAATTTTTAACAAAGACAGCTTAGAATTAATTTCTATATGCAAAAAAAATCCTACCCTCTGGTGACCATGACAACAGACCCCACTACATCATTGGATAAGGGACTACAAGCTTCATAAGGTTGTGACAATACCATATCAATTGATTTGTATACATCTGACTGAAAAAAATTCCACATTAAAAACTTTTGACCATTAAGTTAAAACAGTTTGCCAGGCAAGGTAAAATACACTGGTGGTAGCAGTTAAGAGATCATAATGATTTGTGTAATCAGAAAGGCACAAACTTTGCACTCGTCTCAGATTTTTTCATTCTATCAAAAACAGACAAAAATACTGGTCTATACTGTATATTGGAACTTCAAAATTTCCAGAGAACTCATCTTTTTGAATATTGTCCAGATCAGAAAAAAGATCCAGCTTCTCCTGTTTAAAAGAAAATAAATTACATGCATCCCAATCGACTTTTGTGTTACATATATACAAACAATCTAATTCTATGCTATCTAACTATGAAAAATGGATTTTGTTCAACTAGTAAATTTTTGGTGTTAAAAATTTTAAAGAACTTAATGGAAATAAAGTTTGAAAGGGCTAAAGCAATGTGAATTATATTAAGATCAATATTTAAAATCAAGCTTACAAATGGTGCTCCAAAACTTTGTGATGGTTTTATCTTGAAAGTATAACTTAATGTATCTGGTTCTAGTATTTGGAAGTATAAAGAATTATCTACAGCAATGTTGATGTCTGGTGTTGTTGCTAGTTTACATGAAGCTACAAAAAAAGTATTCTGATGTTGATTAATGTGAAATACCGATAGATAGATAGATATTATCTTGGAAATGTATTGTACCGTATTTTGTTGAAAAAGGAACACAGAATACTGATACTAAGTTTTTGTTAAAAGGACATCATTTGGTATTTTCTAACCAAGGATATTTTCAAAGCAACTATTATCAAATGATATCCGCATTTGATAATTATAAATAAATCATTAATAAAATAATTGTCAACAATAGACTTTGCATTTAATATTAAGTTTAGTTACCATTTTGCACAAATTCTCTATTTCTTTGTCATTTTCTATACAATTAGAGTGGCTATAAAGCCAAATTTGTTCTGGCTGGGTGAGTTACCCATTGGTTAAAGTCTGATTGACAAACTCACTTCACTTACTTGCACTCTAAATGGCAATGGACGAGGCTACTGGTTAATAGACAAATTATCTCAGCACTTATTTTGTGAACAGGGTAGAGAATTGATGTAAAAAATTTGTATAATACCTGTCCACAAAGTGCCAGGCGTGAAACCAGTGTCTCAGATTTTTATTTTGATCCTACTTCAGTACATGTTTGGAAGTTCTCACAGTGATTCTTGGCTATATGCAATGACAGTGTAGACTATGTTTAACGAAGTAAAAGGTAAAGGTGCTTTAAATTTCAACAATTCACGCTGATGCTAACACATCGCTACCGTGCTTAAAGGGATAAGGCGAGATTTCCAGGAGTAAATCATACCTTGGTCTCAGAAACGTGAATTGTTCAGTTTAACTAATCTGTATAACTACTAATGTTCACAGCTTACTGTAGAAATATGAGCTTTCAATTCCAAGTGTATCAATAATTATTTATTTTGAATGTGATCTAATCAAGTCGTCCATTTAACAGACTGGAATAATTGAATATCTGAACAATGACGCCATGTTTACAGTAGATTCAATTATCCTGTCCCACTTCATCTATGAAAAGCTGCTACAGAGACTTTATCAACAAAATGTTCAAATTTGGGATACCCCAATTTTTTAGAAAGAAGATATGCTTCTGAACGTAATAAATAATAAGTTAAATTTCTTGTTTGAGGTCTATGTGAAGAAACATTGTGATTTCGTATAGTTCCAGTACTTCTGAAGATAATTTACATATGTTCCAGACCCAAATCAACCCACCAAAATGCTGCATCATTCTGTACCTTTAATTGGAATCACTTCACCTTGCTATACAATGGTGTAACCTATTTTCGTGGATATAAGGATTCAACACCGAATTTCGTCAAAGATAAAAAAACGAAATTTTTTTTTTTATGTCTTAGATGTTTCCTCAGATATTCTACAAAATAATTCAAATGTTTGATCTATAAATAAGTCTACAAAAACATGGATTCCGGGTGGTATAATTAACATCTCTTAGTATTTATCTTTAATATCAATTCATTATAACTAGTAACAATTCCTTCAAAGAACCACAATTTTAAACAAAAATAGTGACTGACAAAATAAGATACGTAGCGTGATCTATTGCTAAAAGTCATTGAAACAACATAAGAATATGGTCCACTTTGTGTTCCATAGAAGTTTTCTGCTGTCACAGACTCCGCTAGTTGATCACGTGACTTCATTCGTTGGACTACATTCTAGCAGACGACACTTGGAATTCCGATTACAGCAAGGGATTATAAGGAAATTCGGCTGATAAAAAATGGCTGGTGACGTTTGGTAATAACTGAAATCCGCCATTTTGTATTTGTCAAAGTATACATTAATACAGTTTACTTTGCTTGAAACTACTGGATTAATTCTACTAGCTGATATTGTACAGACAACCAATGTTTATCAAAACAAGTTAATGCGGAGGTCACGCAAGGTCTCTCATGTAAATCATTAAACATTTCCGGAAATCCACGAATAATAGGTTTCCACGAAATTAGGTTACTTGACTGTATAGGCCTATAAAGTATAATTGAGTAGAGAACAAGTCCCTTTAATTCAAAATAATGGACCAATGGAATTAACAAATCATAACAGAATACAACATATGCTGCATTAATTGTACTGTAACAGATTCAAGCAGCTACGCTAGTTATTTGAGATTGACTTCGGACTTCGTTGTCCAAGCAAGATTAATAAACTTTTCAATCTTCCGTTTCTCTTAACATGCATTATAATAAATATCCCTGTCTGAAAAGCTAAGACACTGTCAAGAATAAATCATTTACTTATCCAGTGACATAAAAACCCACCAAGAGTGTTGAAATTCATAAAATACACAAAAATTGGTAAAATTATGGTAAATGTTGATTCATTGCCTTCCATCTTGAAATTTGCAGACATATACTTCCGATGAGTTATTGATAAAAGAGAGCGCATGGCAAATCTTTACTTGTAACAGAAGAATAGCCCATTAAATATTTTTACAGTATTTTTGTTATTTATTATGGAATAGGTTTGACATACTGGTATCAAGACTGTCTGTCGTGAAAAGGTGTTTTTATACCGAATTCACATATAACAATAAGTTCCCCCCTCAGTGTACGTGTTGTAGACTCGAATACCATGACAAACATTGAAAAGGAAATGAGCCTAACAAACTATCTTTTGGCATAACTACTTTAGTAAGTTCACACTCTGATAACATATTATGTATGTAAGGAACATATGGAACTTTTCTATGTCTATGTTTAAAAAAAGTAATACCGTAAGAATGCCAGTCGGTATTCAATCTAGATCATGGAGTTTGAGTTATAAATAGAACTTAATTATGTAACTCTATTATTATGGGTAATTCTCCCATAATTTACCTCTAATAAACTATTCAAAAACTACACAAATAGGCACTGAAAATATTTACAGGTGTTTTATTTACAGCTGATGAATATATATATCAGTTATGTAATGTTTTTTACTAAATTTTTTACTAAGGCATAGGCCTACTTATTGCTTGCAATTGTTTTTTGTTGTTTCTTTTAGATATTAGATAATGCCTACAGCTGTAGTTTTAGGGGGTGGAGTTTCAGGACTTGCAACAGCATTTTATCTTCAGAAATATGGAGCTTCAAAGTTCAGCAAGATTATTCTTTTGGAGGCTACAGATAGATTTGGTGGTTGGATAAAATCTAAACGTCACCCTGATGGTGCAATTTTTGAATGTGGCCCAAGAAGTTTGAGACCTGTTGGAAGCCAAGGCAAAAATACATTGAAACTTTTAAGTGAATTACAGTTAGAAAAAGATATTCTTCCCCTTTGTCGTACAGATCCAGCTGCCAAAAATCGTTATCTTTTTGTGAATAAGCAACTGCATGCTCTGCCGAACAGTTTACAAGGTTTAGTTAAACGACAACCATTTATGTCCCATGCATTTATCTGGACACTGTTAACTGAAAATTGGAAGACAAAATCTCCTTTAGAGGATGAATCCATTCATAGTTATTTCTCTCGACGTCTTAATCAAGAGATGGCTGATGTATTAATTGATTCAATTTGTAGAGGAATATATGCTGGCGATTGTCGTAAATTAAGTATAAAATCCTGTTTTCCAGATCTGTTTAATGCTGAAAAACAATATGGATCTCTAACACGTTTTGTCCTCTTGAAACCTAAAGCGACTACCCAGGTTGATGATGCCTTAATTAAGAAATGTTTGGAAGAAAAATGGACATCCTATTCATTTAAAAATGGCATGCAGCAACTGACTGATGCACTAACAGAAACCTGTAATGCAAATAAAGTAGATTTGAGAAGTAATTCATCTGTAAAATCAATCACTTTTTTAGATAATGGTAAAATCAATATTAAATGTGACAATGATGAAATCAAAGCAGATGCAGTATTTTCTGCCATTTTTTCAAAAGATTTAGGCAAACTATTGCAAATAGACACATTGAAAAATAATCTGAATTCCATCCCAGCTGTAAGTTGTGCTGTGATCAATTTGGAATATGAAGGCAAGCTTCTACCCGTTGAGGGATTTGGACATTTGTCTCCATCATCTGAGAATGGACCAGTTCTTGGAATGATTTACGATTCATGTTCCTTTCCACAACACGACAGGACAGATGTGACACCATCTACAAGGCTAACAGTGATGCTTGGAGGGGCCTGGTCAGATAGTATTCAAAATATTGGACAGTGGATATCGCAAACAGATTTAATGTCTATGGTAACTGAAGCAGTTAATCAGCAATTGCAAATTGCATGTCACCCAATTAGAAGTCAAATATCATTATTGAATGATTGTATTCCACAGTATCATGTTGGTCACTCAAATATTATATCAAACTTAAATACTTACATATCAAAAAGACAACTTCCTTTATATTTAATAGGGTCATCTTATCAAGGTGTTAGTGTAAATGACTGCATTTTGAATGCCAAGCTGGCTGTAGAAAATTTTTTATTAAATTGAACCTTTTTTCGCAGGATAACAGATTTGTATCATTTGTTGCAAGCTTTTAATAGAATACGTACATACACTTGGTTTGTCATATAACATAAGAGTTTTTAATAAATGAATTTGTAGATGTGTTATTTCATTTGAAGCTTTGAAATCTATAGTATTTTGTCCAATGCTTATACTCAATTTGTACTAATCTATTTATGAATCTACTGATAGTGACTGCAATTCACATTGTGATACTCAGTAAATTGATCAGTGCATACCACTTCATACTGTTCCTCCAATTCTTCTTTCAAGACATGAATCAACAACTACCATAAACATAAATAATTAAATGTGAATTTATTTGAAATGACTGTAGTCTTAACAATATGACAATGGATGATTTGAAGAATATATACCATGACGAAAAAAAAAGAAGAAAAACACAAAATGACATGCTTATGTTCTCTTTCCCTACAGGCTCAAAAAGTCACACATTTCACTTATAATTTAGTATCCACACTTCAAGCTGTCAATGAGAGATAGAGCCCCCAGACAAAATACACCGAAAACATTGAAATATCCGTCCTCCTACTGCTTTAGAATACACTAACATACTTGCTTTCCCTCAACCCACCCTCAAGTAAAAATAAATATTCATACCATATACAAATACACGTACTTAGATATTCAACTTTGATATTTTATAAAGCTTGAAATGTTTTGACAAACACAATTTTACAAATGGTTTGTTTGGACATTCGCATTAATAATATTCAAGTCTGTCCACAATGAGAGTTAGTAGGTAGGTTCTTATTACAATTGTCAAATTTGCAGAATTGACAGAACATTCAATATCTGACAGTTTGTGACAACTGTATAAACATTCACTCAAAATACTAAATAAGAGAAATTCACAATATTAGATTCAAATTCAGACCAGATATCCAAGTCTATTCTATACAGATGACTAAGGAATCTGATGTTATATAGAAATAAAATATTCAACAAGCAAACATATGATTGGTGTGATGATTTTAAAGGTCCACATATATATGGTCTCTCATCCAAACTATCATGTCATGTGATGGAAATAAACCTTGTCTATCATATATAAACACACAAAATGTTTTAAATATGGAAAATGTTTCAGATCCTTGCGTACTTGTAATCAAATTAAATTAATTTCATCATCATGAGAACCATGATTTGAAAACTGTCTTGATATTTCTATTCCAAATATTAAATATATTTGGTAGTTATACATCACACATTGCCATTTACATAAATAAATACATCACAATAATCACAATATAATGTCATTGTGAAAATAAGGCGGCAATAGTTGACAAGTTAATATAGAGCGCTCTATTCTGTTTAAATAAACACATCATCTTCGAGTCATTGGGTGACGTAAGTATAGGTACGAGATGGTGAACGTGTACCTTCTGGAATAGGTACATTTAGGAAATCCCATATGAGAATTGTATCGTCATGGGAACTACTTACTATCTGGAATTCATCAAATTGGAGACGGAAAACCCGACCTGAATGTTCCTGAAAAATACAAAAGTTATCTCACAGTATAATGTCAGAACACAAGAACTTGCCAATATGATAAATCTTTTTTAATGTCAGGAGCTGTTTACAAATAAATGTGATTGATCTGCAATCCTGCAGGTTAGTTTGTTTGCATTTGATAAGTCAATAGAATTGGCAACAGAAATTATCATATTTACCACTAATGTTCGGAGACAGAGGGTACCAGCTGGAGAACGAGGATCTAAGGCTGCCTGTAAGTCCCATACCTTTATTTTGCTACAATGTAAACATTTATTTAATTGCCAGACCAGAAAACAACACCTACTAGTATAAATGTACCTTTTTGAGCTATTTTCAACAACAGAATGATTAGAATCTTACACATGTAGGAATGTATCCTTATATCAAACACAACATAAGACTAGCATATGAAATTTCCTTGCAAGCCCCAAACATTCAAAAGTCAAAATTGAAACACAATGACATTTCTTTATACTGCACTTTCCTACATTTGAGACTGTAATGTTGGACTTCACTATTAAGTTAAAGCACATTATGAGGCTTTGTATGATTTTACATCACCACTATTCTATAATCACATCCAATGAAAATACAAAGTAACTGTGTTGTAATATTGACATTTTAGTATGAACAGTTTATCTGATTTGTGTACTAAAAATATAAGCAAGACATTTTGGAATAATATGACAAATGCCAGTTCCTCAAATTGGAAAGTCAATTCTTACCAATCTCTAAGGGATGTAGATGATCATTAGTGTAATTGATCAAGAGAACATTTTCTTACCCATCATAAGCACCACTAACAATCCTTTTATTGTCAAATCTAATACATCTAACTAACTCTTCATGGCCTTCTAAAACTCTTAAACAAGCACCATATTCGATATCCCATAACCTAAAATGAATATTAATTGATATCAGGAATCATTCTTAATAAAGTAACCATAATACTTATTTATGGTTATTTATTCTCATCATCTGATTAAGATGCAGTTTGAGATTTTGTTCTTAAGTCTTGAAGAAATTGCTCTCTGAGGAACATATCACAATCACAGCATCACAAATCACAATCACAGAAAGAATGGATAGACAACCCAAAAACTATATTATATATAAGCCAATTATTTACCTGATAGTATTATCAGAACTACCACTAACAACTAATCTATCATGATACTGTAAACAAGCAATACCCCTTTTATGGCCATTTAATGTTCGCACAAATTCACATGTAGATGTATTCCAAACCTATAAAAAAAAAAATTGAATAAAAATAGTATCAATAAAAAAAAGGCATGTAGAATGTTTGATTTGGCCATTGACAAAGATGCCCAAAAATATAAATAAGGTTTCAATAAGGAAAGGTGTCCAGGTGTCATGTCCTGAATTGGCAAGGACATTATTTAAGTCTGTAAATGACCTTCAACTTTGAAGGCAACAGGAACATGAACATAAAAATACATTCAGCTATATCAAGAATTATATAAAAGATAATGAGAGAAAGTTGTCTACCTTTATAGTTCTGTCACCAGAAGCTGATACAATATATCTGTTATCAAAATCTACAACATTAACAGCAGCACGATGACCCACTAAAACCCTGCGTAAATTAATCTCTGTTGGTGACTGCATATCCCATACAGCAATAGATCTATCTTTAGAACAAGTGACCATAATGCCATCACAGAATCGTAAATGTAAGACTGCTTCACAATGGTGTATTAATGTGTTTAACATTTCTCCTGTCTTTACACCCCATACTCTGAAAATGTAAAATTTACTTTGGTCACATTTTTTTTTATCATATTTATAAATTTTAACCTAGACTTTGATATCGCAATCATCATCTACTATTAAATGCATTTTAACTTAATTTAAAAATCAATGTACTAAATGGGGCTTCATTTTTTTAACCTTCAAACCTAGATTAATGAAAATCGGCTTAAAATTAAATACCAAGTTTGATAAAAATCAGAAAAAATTCAAATCACTCTAGAGCATTTATAAGGAAATGTGAATAAACAGAATGACGAACTACAATTATACATATCAGATATGTAAGTGACCATTTAATTCATTTCCCGAACTTTGGGGAAGCATAGGCAGGGAAGCTTTATTTCTCTGACAATATATATTGTATTACCGGACAGTAGAATCACTGGAACCTGATATAATTATTTTCTCGTCATATTGTAAACATAATACAGATCCTGTATGACCAGTTAGCACTTTTACACATTCTAATTGAGATCTGTCCCATAACTATAATAATACAACATAATCATTAACATTTTAAACAATGAATATGATAACAATAAATAAAGTATCAATACATTACTTAAGTCATTATACTATTATTATCTGGTGGAAAAGAGAGAAATTGAATTTCTATATTTTAGGAACTATGATATACTCTCTTCAGGTTACATTTTTACATATATATTTCATTGAGCAAGTTTTGTTGAATACACAAATTTGATTGATGTTAATGCATTTTTTTTGTATTTCAGTTCAATGAACGGTTTAGAAAATACTTACCCAAACTTTGATAGTGTTATCACGTAAACCACTGATAATTTTTTCATCATCATATTGTAAACAATAAACTCCTTTACTGGTTTCACTACGACAATGTATTCTCTGTAATGTATGTCTACCAGTCCTCCAATTATCTTCAATTCTCTGTAAATAAAAAATATACGATTCAATTTTCAACTGTTGAAAAAACAGTTATTAAAACAAGACCCAACTTTTATTTTTTCTTAACCGCTCCAGTTAAGGTCTAACTACTTTCTTCTGGTTTCTCCTTATGAATAACTTTTGCCCTGTCAGACCTGAAAAACTCACAATGTTCAGTTTCAATTCACTTGATATCGACAGGTCTATTGAGATCTTTTATTCATGTCACAATTTTAACAAGTTTAATTGACTGACAGTGTTATCTAACATGAATGTTATATAGTGAGGTAGTTAAACTCCAACTTGAATGGTAAAGTAAAATAAAAAGCTTACAAAAAACAGAATGAAATTTTGGTAAATTTGTAAAGTAGAGTAGATATACCACAAATACATGACAATATAATGTAATGGGCACACTTTTTCAATATAATTATCGCACCAGAACTTAAGCCCTGCCTATGTAAGTCACGTGACGTATACGCTTGACGACGAGTAGAGGTTAGATAATGTCACAACAACGCGTCTTTAACGTTTAAGCGAGAGCTGTTCAATAATAAAATTTATTCATCCTGGTTTGTCTTTAGTCCGCTTTGCCTTCTATGCGGTATTTCAAGCGAAGGCAAGGTTGATTCGACTAGCAAATGAAATGAACGGAATATCACATTCTACTTTTTGTACAATGTGGGCAAAGAAGACTAGATTCGCCTGATATATTCTATCAGAAGCCGCATATTTCACTGAAAAATCAAAGCAGTCAAATATTTCAGTGAAGGTTATTTCCATTCCATCAAACGTTTTCGATAGACCTATTTCGGTGATAGAGTATTTGAAATCAGCTCCAAATGCCATAAAAGTAGGCTAATGTGAAAAAACGAGCACCCCCAATAACATTGATATTTCTATCGAACCAGTTGACATATCATTATTATTTAGGCTAGGCCTAGACACGTTAAGCTTTAAAGGCACGGTGATTAGTACACCTTCAATTAATCACATGTATTCTCTTTTTTTCATATCTTATCAGGTGAATAAAAGCGGATGTGCCAAAATGAATAGGCCTATACATGTGCCTAATAATAGTTTTAAAAAAAGTGTTTCTAAACTAATATGAGTAATTGAAGATGTGCCTAATTACCGTCTGTCTAAATGACCGAGTGCCTAGATAAAGCATGCCTGATGTACTGTATCTATTTAACTACAGGGTATAAGTATAGGCCCAGGACCCTATTTGTTCCAAAATGGACAGTGAATCAGCGGAGGCTATGAAACGATTTATTTTCATATTTTTCTTAGTTCAAGCGGATGCAGGTCCCATATTGATGGTCTTCTGCTTGCTCTTCAATCTAGTTGTTTTAAGGGGTTCACTAGACCTACCCAATGAACTGTCATGTACAAGCCTGTTACAGAGATCTTTAATCCATCAGAGACAATTTTCTAAGCTGGCAGTTTTGGGTTTAGGAAATAGCAGAAAAGTCATGCCGTGCATATCTGCTCTTAGCATATTCCATAAGTGCATCTTTTCACCATAGTCAGACAACTTGTATAACCTTTTGTTAAAACAACTTGATTTATCTGCAATCCGTATTGCATATATGAACAAGTCTTCACAACTGTGGAATTATACAAAATTGAGCTTTGAAATAACAAGAATGACGCCAGGGTATTCCCAGAAAGGTTTTTCCCCCGACAAGTCATTGGTTAGAATAGGTCTTTACGCATGGTTAATTATGTACATATGCAGTACACATTCGCAAACACGCATAGAGATGTATAAGCCTGCCCAAAAGGTGTCTAGACCTGGATGACCAAAAATTGAAATTTTCAGACTCAACCAAAATGAGTCTATGTTCAGTCGTAGACTTACCTGATGTCATGACTATACATCAGAATCCTTCTATAATCCAATAAATCAATAAAACTAAGTAATAATTCATTAAAATAAGTAATTTTTATCATTTAATAATTATTTATCGTGGATATATCGTGTTATATAGATATTCTATTCTTTAGTCATGGCACCTGAAGCTTTAAATTTTAGGTATATTCTATGTCTAAGAGGTAGTTAGTATTTCTTTAAACATGATCATTGACATACAAATGACATCATATATATCATTATGTTGTATAGACAAGCCTATATCATAGTTGTACTTACATCAATATCCTCGATAATAGAAGGATATAATCCTCTATAAAACTTATGATCTTTGGCAGGTTCTCCAGGCTTTGGTTTAAATAATGTATTGCCCCTACAAATATAGAAAGTTCATGAGAAACAATGTAGGTGGAAATACAGAAATTATAAAGTCTAAAAATAAATCTTTCAAGATAACATGATAAGTTACTGCTCAAGTAAATGAGAGATATCTCTGGCGTCCAAATGAATTTAGTTTAATATAAAAGATAGCATGCCAGACAAGGTAATATACACCCACTGGCAGCTTAGATTTTAAACCAAAATATTTGGCAGTACAGTAACAATCCCCAGTATGTAATATTTAACCTTCTGTCATACACTTCTTTTTGACTTATTGGGATGATACTGAACAATATTACCATATTTTGTCAAAATTTTGCAAGAATCGAATAATTGGGCCTTCTTGAACATGTTTTCAAAATCAAAGGCAATAACTCATACTAAATATATTTCAATTTATCTGATGTACATATTGGTTATCTTTGGGTGATTATCAACACTCCTACCAAGATACGCCAAAATCTGTCAATAATTGTGACTATTTCAGTGTTAACATATCCCTCCCACATTATATGTGTGCATGGACTTCTCAAGTTCTTATAAAGCTGAATAGTTAAAGTTAATCATAATCATGAGAGATTTTTGTTAGTTATATAAGATTACACTTCTACTTACCATCCACGTCTTTCAGCTAAACCTTTCCATAAAGAGTCTGTTCGCACTTTTCTTTCTATTAATTTTTTCCATAAATTGCCTTCAGAAACTACTCTATACCACTCTTTACAAACTAATTCAGCTGAGCAGAGTGATACTGAATCTAAATAGGCTAGAATGTTTTCAGCAATATGATCCAAGCCCTTTGCTGAAAGAGAAAATACAGAAATTCTTTACCAATAGAGAATTGCTATCATAGTATGTATTCAATATTCTTGCATTTAAACATCCCTTTACTAAATTGATTATCAACACCTACCTGGAAGTGCAGAGATAAAATCCCTCTGTAACATAGGACGCAAATAAGCATTTATTCTACCATGTTGATAGTGACACATATGAGACAAGAGATGTTCTACAAATTCAGTTTGTTCATTTTCAGTCCAATGTTCAAAATATTTCATGCACATATCTCTCTGTTGCATGTATTCTTCAGATGGTTCTTCAATTTTTCTTCCAATTAAACTTGTCACTTCCACAATACTACTTTGCTGAAAGAATATTAAAGATAGCTTGCCAGGCAAGGTAACATACGCCCACTACCAGCTGTCAGACATGATAACAAAATCTTTTGTGGCTTAATAATGAATTTCCAAATAATCATCTATAAGTCAAGGAAAAAAACTGAAACAGTTCATCAAGTTATCATCAAATTCAAACATGAACAATGTCTAATCGCTGTACACACAAGGGCAATAACCCTGAAACTGTTCATCATCCGAATATTACCAATTTCTAACTTGATCAAGATCTCATTAAACATATCTAGTTTCATCAAATTTAGCCAAATTTGACATGTTTTTACTAAGTCAAGGGCAATAACTCTGAAACCTGTAATCCAATTATTATGAATTTCAAACTTGACAGAGATCTGATCAATATATAAATGCATACTAAGTTTCATCTAGATCGGATAAAAACTGCAGTCTGTATCATGCCTACAAGCCAAATTTAACGCGTTTTTACAAAGTCAAGGGCAATAACTCTGAAACTGTTCATCCGATTATTACCAATTACGAACTTGACTGAGATCTCATAAATACATACATGCATACCAAGTTTCATGAGGATCAGATAAAAACTGTAGTCTCTATCGTGTCTACAAGGCAAATTTGACGCGATTTTACTAAGTCAAGGGCAATAACTCGGAAAAAGTTCTTCCGATTATAACCAATTTGAACTTGTCCGAGATCTCATCAATATATACATGCATACTAAGTTTCATCAAGATCGGATAAAAACTGTACCCTCTATCGTGCCTACAAGAAATGTGAACAGACAGACCGACGGACAGGGGCGACGGCAATATACGTCCACATTTCCATGTGGGCGTATAAAAATAACTCTAATGATTATTAGAAAAATTCTAAATTACCATACTTAATATAATGAAAGATATATCTCAAATATAATTCAAGATAGCTTGCCAGGCAAGGTAACATACGCCCACTGGCAGCTGTCAGAAATGATAAAACTGTCTTTAGTGACTACTCACTACAGTATGAATTTTCTCATATTAAAGAAATGTTAATAGTTTGAATTCAATTATATATATATATATATTTACTGCCATTTATTTCCACAAATTTTTTAAAAATCAATATCAATAATCCAATTACATCAAATTATCGCATCAATATACATAATCACACCATGTTTCATTAAAAATCAATTGAAAACTAGTCTTTATTAGTCACAAACAAATTTTGAAGCGTTTTTCCTATATCAAGGGCAATAACTAAAAAACTGTTCATCGAAAGATTGTCAACTTCAAACTAGACCAAGATCTCATCAATATAAACGATCACACCAAATTTCATTAAGATCACTTGAAAACTGTAGTCTCTATTGTGTTCATAAGAAATGTATCGATGGACCAATGGACCAATGGCATTATACGTCCACATTTCCATCATAAAAATGATCTTTAAAATATCACAAGTATGTAAATATTCTAATCATTCTGGTATAAAAATAGCTTGCCAGGCAAGATAAAAACGCCCACACAGGAGCAGTGATGCATTTTAAGAATTCAATAAATATCAGCATGAAACTATGCTTTAAGGGATGATAAAGAGGTTTTCGAGGTATCAAGGACATTGATAGCATCAATTTGCGACATTCCAATTTTCAACCTAGACGTCTTTTGTTTCCTGCAATTCCACTAAAACTAAGTGTTTGATTATGTTACAAATTGCAAAATATGCTTTATCAATATTTTAAGGCCACTGGCAGTGTTGATTTTGAATAAAAATATTTGGCAGTACTGGTACAATAACAATCACCAATATGAAATATTCAACCTTTAGTCATAAACACTGCTTTCGAAATTTTTTTGGCGATATTACCAACTATTACCAAGATTTGTCCAAATCTGGCAAGAAACAAGTTAACAAGCTAAAAACTGAAAGCGTTTTAAAGAATTTTGATTTTCAATAGGGTTCATCTATATCCATATCATAGGGTGATAATAAACAATTTCAACATATTTCTGTGCCTTCCACAGTGTTGACGAGGTAAAACTAGAATGTGTTTTCAAAAACGAGGACAATTACTCATACTAAATATTTTCATTCAGTCTGAGGCCACATTTATAAGAATGTCTCGTTTCCCCTCCCAGGGTCTACTCTTTCTAAAACAGACCAGGGAGGCACATACTTTTTTTTACCAATTTGATACCATGGATGGCCTAACTGAAGTTAAGTTTACTACAGATAGCTTGCCAAGGAAATATAAGTAATATACGCCCACTGGCAGCTTTGATTCTAAACAAAAATATTTGGCAGTATAAAGTAACAATCACCAGTATGAAATATTCAAATTTCTGTCATACACTTCTTTTGGACTTTTTGGGGTGATACTGAATAAGGCACAATTATTCGATTCTTGAGCCTTATGAACTGTTTACGATCTTAGAATTAAATGCATTTTCAAGAACATAAGCAATAACTCATAAAAATTTATTTTGATTACCCTGATGCACATGATGAGGGTTCATCCTTGGGTGATCAAAATCTGTTAAGAATTATGCCTTCCAGAATGTTTAGGAGCGCCAAATAAGGAGCCTATCATCCGATTTTTAATGATTTCAAGCTTTACTGGGATCTCATACCAAGATTCATCAAGATCGTATAAAAAATGTAGTCTCTACAAGCCAAATTAAATGCATTGAATTAATTCAAGGGCAATAACTCCAAAACCGTTCACCCGATGGTTACCCATTTCAACTTGACTGAGATCTTGTCCATAGAGATCAGTTAAAATCTGCACCCTGTTTCATGAATACAAGTCAAATTTGTAGGGTTTTTACTAAATCAAGGGCAATTGTTCATCCAATTATTACTAACTTCAAACTTGACCAAAATCTCATCAATATATACATGTATACATTTTCATCAAGATGGGATCAATATTGTAGCCTTTATCGTGCATACAAGCCAAATTTAACGCATTTTAACTACGTCAAGGGCATAACTCTGAAACTGTTCATCCGATTATCACCAATTCCGAACTTGACCGAGATCTCTTCAATATATACATGCATTCCAAGTTTCATCAAGATCAGATAAAAACTGTAGCCTTTATTGTGCATACAAGCCAAATTTAACGCGTTTTAACTAAGTCAAGGGCAATAACTCTGAAATAATTCCTCCGATTAATACCAATTTCAAACTTGACCGAGATCCCATCAATATATACATGCATACTAAGGTTCATCAAGATCGGATAAAAATTGCTGCCTTAATCATGTATACAAGCCAAATTTAATGTGTTTTTACTAAGTCAAGGGCAATAACTCTGAAACAGTTCATCCGATTATTACCAATTTCGAACTTGATAGAGTTCTCATCAATATATATGCATACCAAGTTTCATCAAGATCAGAGAAAAATTGCAGCCTCTATCGAGCTTACAACAAATGTGGACAGACGGACGGACAGGGGCGACGGCAATATACGTCCACATTTCCATGTGGGCGTATAAAAAGTGTAGCCGTTATTGTGTCTATATGAAATTTTGAAACATTTTTAATAAGAAAAGGGCAATAACACCAAAAACGTTCATCTGAATGTAAGTCTAAGTCGAACTTAGTCGAAACCTTATCAATAAGCTTAAATACATACTAGGAGTAAGTTTCATTGGGATCAGATAAAAACTGTAGTCTCTATTTTCAAATGTTGTGTCGTATATGGGTCACGTTGAGGGATTCATAAAGAAAATCTAAACAAACCAATTATAATTATTTTGTAGAATATCTAAGGAAACTTCTAAGACATAAAAAAAAAATTTGCTGTTGAATCCTTGTATGCACGAATTTAGGTTACATGACTGTATAATTACAGTCAAGTAACCTAATTTCGTGGAAACCTTTTATTCGTGGATTTCCGGAAATGTTTAATAATTTACATGAGCGACCTTTTGATAAACATGGGTTTTCTGTACAATATCAGCTTGTAGAATGAATCCAGTAGTTTCAAGCAAGGTAAAATGTATTAATGTATACTTTGACAAATACAAAATGGCGGATTTCAGTTATTACCAAACGTCACCATTATTTATCTGCCGAATTTCCTTATAATCCCTTGCTGTAGTCGGAATTCCAATTCCAATTCGTCTGCTAGAATGTAGTCCAACGAATGAAGTCACGTGATCAACTAGCGGATTCTGTGTCAGCAGAAAATTTCTATGAAACACAAAGTGGACCATATTCTTATGTTGTTTCAGTGACTTTTAGCAATAAATCACGCTACGTATCTTATTTTGTCAGTCACTATTTTTTTTTAAAATCGTTGTTCTTTGAAGGAATTTTCACTAGTTATAATGAATTGATATTAAAGATAAATACTAAGAGAAGTTAATTATACCACTTGGTATCCATACAACGTGTTTTTCTCGACTTATTTATAGATCAAACATTGTACACGAAAATAGGTGACGCATTCTGCCGCCGTTGCCAAGTTGGTTGCTCATGAAATATGGGTCAAAGTGAAGGATTCATAAAGAAAATCAAAATAAACCAATTTTAATTATTTTGTAGAATATCTGAGGAAACATCTAAGACATAAAAAAAAAATTTCGTTTTTTTTAACTTTGACGAAATTCGTTGTTGAATCCTTATATCCACGAAAAATAGGTTACACCACTGTACAATTCAAACTGATGTACCATCTTTATGCATGATAGTCAGAAAAAATTATCTCACTATGAAATCAGACGGTAAACAGTAAAGTAAAAATATTATATTTGATATAGGGCCTAATGGCATTTGGCATAACATATTTTGTCATATTCATTATTTGGATTTGGTCTCTCTAGATGTAACCAGTATAATCAAAAGTGTGTAAGCCTGTATGGGGAAAGTTCTCAGTGTTTCTTTTCGTTATACAATTGAAACAGGCTAAATATGAGCAAAATCCCCTCTCTT